CATGTTTTGGGTGTACTATTCCTTTAATAGCCGAAAAAAAAAACACAGATTTCTTTGCTTTACATGATGTGAACAAAGAAGATCCTCACCAGCGTAACACGGGCAATGGTGAGCCAAAGAAAGGGCAGTTCAGGAAGGTGCGGTTGTTCACGATGACTTTGATTAACTGATTTTTGGGTCCCAGCATCCTTGGAGGCATGTCTGTAAAAGGAGAAGCGATTGGTCATAATGCAGCGATTTCACAGATGTAGAAGGACGGTGGCGTGCTCAGCCTTCATGGACATGATCAGTTATTAGGGTGTTTGGAAATGCATTCAAACAGGCGGATGGTGGACATCATGCAGGAGCGTCTCCAGGGCATGTGTCCATGCTGGTATGGATTAAAACATTTAAACTACAGCTATTGTCCAGTCTCTTGTTGGTGGCAGGATCAGAGGGAAATGGACATGATGGACCACCTCACTGGGTGGGGTTCCTAAAGCCACTGTTACACCTTGACGATTTAGACCCGTGTGTGGCTGACGTATGAAAAATCTGGCATACGTTGGATAAGTTATGGTTACATTTGGTATAAGTGATGAGCACACTGAAGCACGCTGGAACACATCAACATACAGCAAATACGTTGGAAAATCTTGAGCATGCTCCTAATTTCATGTGGTATGCCTGTCGAATGCCATCATCCGTGGGCCGTCAGTTCCAGGTCAGTTATCTGATGGTCGACATCCGTTCAGTATCAGTTCCTCATCAGTCGTGGCGTCTAGCTGATCCTAAACCTCTGAGTAACTGATCCAGAACTTCTCTCCAACATATCAGCGTATCTGACGTGTTCCAGACGAGCGCTGAACGTGTTTCTAACTTCCAGCTACTGTTTAATGGCGCCTTCTTTCTTTCTTGTTTCTTTTTTTGGTGGGTGGTAAACAGCAGCTAGGTTAAAACCGCGATCAGAGGCATGTTTTTATGCAGGCTCCCCCCTCAGGAGCAGACATGTGTCTGAGGGGAGCAGCTTAAAGTGAGGCAGCGTAATGCCCATGAAATGATGCTTGTGGTATTTCATGTTCATTACGCTGCCGTGCGTTAGCATAGGTTTGGCTGTTGTTATAGAAATAGAAAAAAATCCATAGAAAGTTCAGCGTATGCCAGCGTTTTAGGAGATTCTGGGACGTCAGGCAGACACTGGAGAAATCAGCAAGGTGTGACAGGAGCTTAGCAGGGAGGTGCTACCCAAAATCCAGTTCCCTTCTACTGATGGCTGCTTCCTGCAGGAGAAGGGGTCATAAAGCAGAACTGGACCGTCAGTTTACTGCACACTTCCTGCAAACCAGCAACTCTTCACTGAGTTTTCCAAAAATATTTGATATTGCAGAGATTCTGTGTTCTTATGGGATTCAGATATTTTTTATATCTAATGTAGCCAGTTTATCTGAATAAAGCTG